TGCTCCGAATGTAGCTACGTAGTATTAGTATAGTGTGTATACTTAGGTAGAAAAAAAAGAATTGGAAGAGACATCTTGATGCATAACTAAATCCTCATCTATTGTAGGTATAGTATAGTACTGGCGGGACAGAGAGGAAAGGGCTCGTAGCCCTAGTTGCTCCGGTTTCGCCTGAACTAAATCCTTGAACAAACGATGATGAAAGGGTCAAGGCGTTTTATTTATTTATTTTTAATTTGATATCCTCTATTTTTTTCTAATATCTCAGTTTCCTCTACCTAGGTATCTACCAGTTACCCTTTACCCTAACCCCATTCCATCAATATTTTCTTTCCAACAAGCCACTGCACTCATTTCCCCTCCCCTCCACTTCCAAATCCCTGATACATCCTTGAACTCCTCCACTCACTCACATCAATGGATTTCGTTCCCTTTCCCCAACGCTACCAGAGATCGACATGTGACTGAATGATCATTCGCGAGTCTAGAGCAATAAGCCGGACCATCAACGGATAACAAACGGGACCGGAATATTAGGTTCTTAGGTTCTTATCCCAAACAATCAATTGACCCTGACTCGTAGCAGAATCATTTATGACGAAACTGGTTATAATAACAACAGTACCTGCCTAATATAATATACCTCGTCGCAACGCTAGTAAATGATTTGATCTTTTTACTTTCCCTCCCCCTCCCCTCACCCCCTTGGATTTTTTTTTTTTTTTTGTATTTCCCCTCATCTACCTGGCAAAATGGTTCTTTCTTGCCCCTCATTCGAGATGTCACAGCAATGTCTATCCTGTACAGCTGGAGACTTGGAACAATGGGTGGGATTTTAAAGAAACCAACAGGATAAGAAAGAACAGGAACTAAAGAATAGATGGAATAAATATCGCAAACCGATTCTAAGTATCCACTTTTTTTTAACTCCGTTTTAGTACCGTGCTGCATACAAACAAATCCCAAATACCAATCCAAGGTCCCGATCCCGTATATCATATCCTATCCTGTAGGAGAAAAATGTGGAGAGGCGAATAAAAAAAAAAAAAAGCATGGAGGGGGGAAAATGAAACAGAACAGCAAAATGGAAAGAAAGCCGCGAAGAGGGTAGTAGAAGATCCAAAAAAAAAACAAAACATAAAAAGAAGAAGACGGTCTACACATCTCCCCTCGACCACAACCATCTAACAAGATGGAATAAATTCTTCGAGAGATATGCGGGATCGTCACGGTCATGAGTCACGTAGTCGGGTCGAATCCATGGAACCAGCCCATCCAAGGCGCATTTAAGAAAGCACGAGTTGAAAGTTGAAAGAGCACAGCAGTTGCAGCGGTCCATGCCGCGCAGACGGAGGGAAGAAGGAGGGTTGAGGTGAAGGTGTCACACAATCAATCCATACATATGCATCCAAGACAGGCAGTAAATGTTCAACAGCATAGGCGACATTTCCCAATGACCACAATGAACCGATCGTGGGGACTATCTTTGCATCGGGTCTCTTTCTTGTCCGTGTCGTCCAGCGATGTCTCGATGAAATGCGCCGAGGGCTCGCGGCAGGTGCTGTAGATATGGTAGTTCTTGAAGTAATTGCACATCGCTGTCAAATCAAAGGCGGACAGCGCAAGGTTTCAAGGAGGGTGGAGAGAGGAAGAGGAAGGGGAGAATATAGAAATTATGTTGATTGACCAGGGATGAAGCGTTTGGCTGATGTATATTGTAAACCATGTGCTGATGATAGCGAACTGGAGGGCAATGGCGCCTAGGCCGTGGGGAGGGGAAAGCCAACTCTATAGTTAGTATAGAAGAAGTCGAACGGTCAATAGTCGACTGGAGCTCTGGACGGGGAGCCGGTAATATACAATTGCCAGGTGCAGACACATGCTGTCATGGCGGGCATTGACAGGCGAGGGTGTTTGCCATTTAGAAACATTGGGGGTGTTTAGGGCCCATCACAAGCCGGGTGCAAGAAAGTCCCAGCAGGGGGCGGAGATGGTGAGAGAGAGGAAAGAGAGTAATAAAAAAAAATTAAGTAAAATAAAATAAAGTCGAAATCAAAATAAAAAATGAAAAATAAAAAAAAAGGGAAAGGGAAAAAAGAGAAAAGAAAAAGAAGGAAAGAATTGAATTGTTCCAGTAATTCGAATTCAAGTCCAATCAAATAAATTGGTAAATTGATAAATTGATGCCGGTATGCGTCGCTTCTCAACTACCCCGAAGCAGAAACTGTCGGGCGTTTCGGTTGAACGCAAAAAAGAAAAAAAAAATAAATTGAAATGGTAAATAACGTTGATAATGACAAAGGGAAAATAAAACAAATAAAAGATTGAAGGAGAGTAATAGGGAAGAGAGACAAGAACGCAGGAAAAATAAAATAAAATAATAAAGAAAAGACTCAAAGTCAAAAAAACGTAAAATAAATCCTTGCCTAAGTGGAGGTCTAGCGTCATCGGACGTCACCCAAGATGCAACACTTTGAAGTGGAAAGATGCCGCGGCTAAGGATATTAAATCGCTAAACAGGTATGAAGGAGCATGTATCCTCGGGGGGGGGAAGAACTGGTCCACCAGACGGCCTGGTCTACCTGAAGGGTGAAACACCAGGACCCATCTCCGTTGGCCGGATCGGGTCAATGGGAGATCGACGCGGTCCCTCGCAGCCGTTGATGCTTCACCCGCACGTGGCGCTAGCCAGGATTATCATGCAGGCGCAATATGGAGGGTTACAAGATTGAAGAAAGGTGGAAGGGATGTCATGTTACTCTGTGGGTGGTCATCGTCATCGTTGTCTTCCCGAGAGCGAAGAGGAGGAGAAGATTTGTCCAGCAGAGGAAAGGAAGTGCCAACGATTGTTTCAAGAAGCAAACATTAGACAACAACGGCCCACTTGCAGCGACTTGGCCAAGTTAGAAACGGCTTTTCTGCCCCACGGAGTAAATTTCGGGATGAGATGATGGATATCAAATTATAGGAGTTGACAATATCTTGGGCAAATTGTCATCATTGGTTCGTTGGGACCATCCCATTCATGCCGGCTGACCTTGCCCGTCTCGACAGGGGCCAGATATCTCGTCAGATATTATACTAAGCCCCCGAAGTTGCCTATCCGTGGGCGCAAGAGTCGACCCATGACATCAGTAACGTCACGTTGAAAGGGGCTAGCTTCTGGTGGTGGACGTGTGCATATTAGGTTCAAATCATGCCGAGGCGTGTTTTTTGTCCCAGATGTATTGTATAGGATGATTTACACAGTCAAGGTAGCAATTTAGCTTTCATAGCGGTGACTCTTCAGTGCGCGAATTTTCTAGTCATGTGTGTCCTTCATGCAAGTTAGAGGAGTTGATGGAGTACCTAAGAATGAGTGACTAGGTAGAGATATAGGTTTGGCAGGTGGGTATAGTACCTACACTTCGACCTCTCGGTTTGAGTACGTTTCATTGGTTCCTACCCCTGGTTTTCTAGACCAGGAAATGAGAAGCGAACCAACCGCAGACTAAGGAAAAGCCGAATTCAACGCAATAGAAGAAATCGGCTGGAATGGGGGTCTGTCCGTACTCCGTATTCCGTACTCCGTAGTACTAGGCTGGCACTATGGGGCCGAATCGACGTACCGAGTAATTAGCGGAAGGGACTAGAAGGGAAATAGCGTCAAAGTTAAACCCCGGTCACTGGAGTAAGCACTTTTATTGTATTGTACACGCACAGGCCCAGAACCTAACGCCCTGGAGGAGGCAACCAAACGGTTTCGACGAAACCCGGCCAACGAACGAGGGTGCCACGCCCTGGAAAACGGTTCGGCAGGGGCTTTGTCTGCTACTGAAAAGACAGATGCCAAAAAGGAATAAATGAATTTCTAATTAAGAATCAATACTGTTCATTTATTTTACCTTTATCTTTATTATGTTTCGCTTCTTTCCGCTGGATAGTTTAGGCATTATAGACTGCGTTCCATACTTTCTCTGAACTTTCTTGAGTACTTTGAGGGCAGACAGCAACCATGGCATGATCTTGCGACGTGTCCACTTGAATAGGACCTTCCCCAGCGATTTCGATTTTTTCTCCCTTTCTGAAATTTAATCAATTATACTTTTGATTCATATACCCTTGCTTTCTTGTGTTTGTTCTCTTCTTCTGGTCTTCAAGTAGTGATTGAGGATGGAGAACGAAATGACACATATAGTCCAGTGATGAATTTACTCGTTTTGCTGGCAAGATCACGATCAACGATCCAGTATAGAAGTCGCTCTTAGATTAAAAACACCAACGTGAGCATACAGACTCACTAAAGGTCTCTCAGACGTTGAGTAAGGCGAGTGGAGAAGGAAAGGAACCCGATCCAAGTCGGGGGCGCGGCCGGAAACCCTTCCCGTTTTTGATGTGATCGACTTGTACTGAGCAGCATCGAAAGTGACAGACAGCCAACATTGGGGCCGCGGCAATTAACCATACCGACACTGGAAGCCACGACCCCTGGGCTGCGTTGATAATTTCACGGCTACTTCCCCTGACGTACCCACTACTTATAGTGGGGTTTGCTGGGATGGACTTGAAACCTTGTAAACAAAGCCTACTAGCTTTCACTTCAGCGAGGCCTTATCGGTGGTCTGACTCGATTCTTGCAGCCAGGAAAGTTCATTGAAGCCACGGAGCGGAACTGAACCCGCTTGCATTGTAAATTGCGTCTGTTGTCGTCGACCTAGCTTGGCTAGTTAATCGCGATCCGGGAGATTAAAGTAATCGTTGTTCAGAAGCCATTAAGAGCCACATTTCGCATCGCAAAGACAGACCGTGCAATAGCAACTTTCGTAGACCCAGGGCTTGGCATAGGGGTGATGAGCGTGGTCATACTTGCATGTGCCGTGTTTTCCTGGGAGTTCATGACACGCAAGAATATGGAGTCTGATACAACACCAAAATTGAGATTTGGTGACGAATTCAATATAAGACTGAAGCTAGAACATTCCAACTATTCTTACCATAATCCCACCCTACTCTATCCTCATATTCACCTAAAGCACCTGAACTAACTATAAGTGGGGAAGTGTACCTGAATAGAACCTCAGGCCAGGCCGGCCGGCAGGCATCCAGGCACTGAAGGGCGGGACTGACCGCCTAGCGGGATCACCAGGAACTTTCCCACTTATGGTTAGCGCCGTCATGTTGCGCCTGGAGCATCTCTCAGGCCAGACCAGTCCCGATTTGAACCTGGTGCACCCCGTGATCACCAACCCCAGCGACCAATTCGCAAAAGCATCAAAATTCCTCGTCAGCAATCGCTACGGAGTCGACCGCGAACCCTGCTTAGGCGATTTCCGGACTCTTTGCGCCCATCCTCACCCCTCTCCGTGCGCTTGTTTCTTCCGTCTTCTCTGTGAGATAGCACTCGCTGCGGTCCACTGAGAGACGTGCGATTTGGGTCGTGGGGTGGTCTCGGTCGTTGTGGAGACGAGGATCTGCCATCCATCGAAATAATCAAACAAACCAAGATCCGACTGCGATCATACCCATACACTTCGCCCACTCCCGTACCTGTGTACAGTTTCGCGATCATCCGCCGCGATGGGGTTCGGTGATTTCGACACCATCTGCGAAAAAGCGGCATTGCCGCTTTGCGCCCTGGTGGGCCCCGCCTCGTCGATTACAGGTTCCACCGGAATCATTCCCAACTGCTATGCGAGAAATGTCGAGGTCGCCAACACGATCATCTTCGAGGGCGCTGCATCGTTTGTCCATATTATTGCCCTGGGCATGACGGTGATTATGATCTTGCACATCCGGTCCAAGTTCACTGCGGTCGGTACGTTTCGAGTCTGCAATTTGAGTAGACGTATCATCTCTAACGTGGGGCTGTGTACTTTCCCATAACAGGTCGCAAGGAGATTATCACGTTCTTCTATATCTACATGCTTTTGACAATGTGCTCCTTGATCATCGATGCGGGAGTTGTTCCCCCACGGAGCGGGCCGTTCCCATATTTTGTTGCCGTTCAGAGCGGACTGACCTCCTCGCTGTGTACATCTTTACTCGTCAACGGGTTCGTGGGCTTTCAGCTCTACGAGGATGGGACTGCGCTTTCCGTCTGGCTACTGCGATTGACATCAGTGGCCATGTTCGCCATATCTTTCCTCGTGTCGCTACTGACCTTCAAGTCGTGGGGTGGTCTGAGTCCGACCAACACCGTCGGCATGTTCGTGGTCTTGTACCTGTTAAATGCGGTATGCATTGCCGTGTATCTAATCATGCAGTTGCTGCTGGTGATGAACACCCTCGAGGACCGCTGGCCGCTGGGCCACATCTGTTTCGGTGTGTTGGTGTTTATCTGCGGACAGGTCATCCTGTACGGATTCAGCGACACCATCTGCGACAACGTACAGCACTACCTCGACGGACTCTTCTTCGCCACATTCTGCAACCTCCTTGCCGTCATGATGGTCTACAAGGTAAGCCACCAATCAAACCCGACTGTCAAGGGCATAGCTGATCTCTGCAGTTCTGGGATTACATCACCAAGGAAGATCTGGAATTCTCCGTCGGCATCAAGCCCAACACGTGGGAAGTGAAAGAACTCCTCCACGAGGAGGACCGCCGACAGGCGGGCTTCCAGGACTCGAACTCGGAGTACGCCGGAAGCATGTATCACCATCGCGCGTCGACCTATAACGTCCACCAGTATTAACCTTCCACCGCGTTGTCTTTTTCACCCGTTTATCATATGATTTTTTATGAGTTTTTTTCTCGCATAAATTGATGAATTTGAGTTCACTAGCGGGCACGAACTGAACTCTTTCCGACGAAACCCGTTGTCTTCACGCACTACCGACGAATGGATTCGAGCGCCATGTTGCGTATACAGCATTTCTCTCCACCCTTAATTTGGGGTTGAACTGCTGCCTAGACACTTCCCTGTGCATTAGCATCTGCCATATAAGCTTCTTACGCTGCGCTGTATATCTTATTAATCTACTACATCCGTTTCTACCCTTTCACTCAGTCCCATGTAATCCTACCTTATCTGATATCCCTATAGACATCTACCAACCCACCCGTCCATAACAAAAAAGCCAAGCCAACACAGCAAGGACCCCGAAATGCCAACACCTACTCTACTTATTCTAAAGCCGTCAGCAAGACAGTAAAAGAACCAAGGGTTAAATCAAAAAAATACCCCTCCATCCTCGAATTCTATGTACAACACACTACAACACAAGTACCAATCTATACCAAAAACGACTAATCTTCAACATCCCTGCGAGATCCGCTAAAATCAATCGTCAGTAGGCGAAATACTACTCTCGGCTAGTCTACTGAGGTACTTATTTCACCCGTCCTAGTACTTTGGGTAGACAAGGCACCTAGGTACCTAGCAACTAAGTACAATACAGTTTAATATACATAGTTCTCTGGAGGTGGTGCCATCAGCCGGACCGGTAGGTAGCGTACGTAGCACCTGGGGTCTGTCTGAACGGCTAACGACGGAGGTACATACGTAGTGTAGTTTGTTAGTTATGTATATAAATCATGGTTGAATATGGATGGATTTAGTCCAAATTATCAAAATTAAACGAACCGAAATCAAATACAAAAGTGAGAAAGATGAATTAATGATTGACGTAAAAAAGAAAACAGAAAAATACAAATAAAGCAGAACCCGGGAGTGGATCTACTCTACCAGTGTATTCGGTATTCATGCAACAAGCGAGAAAATCAGTTGGTTAGTACATGGCTTAAGCGGGTGCGTGCGGCATGTGCAGAAGTCTAGATCCACGTTAATCAGTCAATTTAGGAAAAGGATTCCGAAGGCTCGTCAGGACGACCAGTTGGAGAAGGTGGGTGAGCAATCACTCACGGTCCCTCAATATTGTTTAGAATGCTAGACCGGTTGGAGTATGCAGAATAGATAAGTTCATATTAATATCTCCCCAGTAAATGAATTGTAATAAAGATTTCAAAGGTTGTTGTTCTATTGGGATTCCCTTCCTGGTCGACGTACCTATCTACCCAAGGTACCTAAATAAGCTCCATTTTATAGTACCAAAGCGTCAGACCACTCCGGCGTATCATATCATGCCATAACATAACCATCTTCGGTGCAAGGACCAGTCGGCTCACGCGCTCGACCGGGACGCAGGCAGGACAGGAGTGAAACTGACCCCACCTGCAATCATTCACGTATCGGTGGTCGGACCTTTGACAGCGTACTAAGTCCACTAACCCACAAGGTGTCACTCCGCGATAGGGCGAAATTTGGAACCTCGGAAGGCATGGAACGATCGACGAGGGGTTGAGAAATTGCTGCATCCCTGCCGATACCGCATGGCTTTTGTGGCTTAGAACGGAATGCTAATCCCTGAATTGACAGGAATTGGTCAATCACTCCCTCACATCCCACAGGATCCTTAGCATCTGTTTGCGGTGACTTAGACGAATTGTGTTGTTCGGCCAGAGGCTAGACCTGCAGTACCTTTGAAATGGTTCAACATGATTTTTCACTCCCTCGTCTTGGGCCCCTTTACCCGTGTTTTTATCCTTCTCAAGCCAAGAATCTAATCCACAACCACCACATCGTCTCCGTCCATGAATCCGTTATCAGTGTCGTCCGAACCCTTGCTGTTGTCGGTCCGTGGAGCACGCTCATCAACCGTAGCGGAGGAGTACCAGCTCTTGTCGACGGACTTCACGAGCCATTTGGACGCATCGCCAACGAGATCCAAAAAGGCAGGGTTCTGCTTGGGCAGGAACATGCTAATGTGCGCCTTGACTTCGTCGCTTGCATTATCGTTCACCGCTCGGACCCATCCGAGACCTGGACCCTCTTGCACAGGCAGGTCCCGGCCCTCTACGTTTACCGGCAGGGTGCAGAATGTGCGGTGTTTTGACCGTATGATCTTTTGACTAAATGAGGTCTGTCCGGGACCGGTGTTCTCGACCAACGCAGATGCATTCTTGCCCAGGCACGTATAGTAATTGATGCTGCCGATGCCCCGATCCCTCTGGACCTCGGCCAAGCGGTCCAAACGCTGGCGCATCTCGGCGGACCGTGTCAGACATCCAACAAATTCGAGATGCGACGAGATCCAGCCCCATCCGCTGGTGATATTGTGTCTTTGGGAGTAGATAGCTGCCGCGCCGCCTGCAGCAACTGCGCCTGCAGCTCCCGCAAACATGGCGTACCGACCCCACCGCTGCCAAGAAGGTGTTGCGGCGGCATCTGTAGATGGCTCCGGGCTGTTGGTCGCTGCAGGACTTTGCTGTTTCGATCGGACCTCCTGAGTGGTGGCCCCCTTGGTAGACGACGCGTTGTTGCCGCCGAATCCAAATAATCCTGCTACCTCGGAGACTGCGTTGTACGCAGACGAGGCGTTCTTGTAATGTCCTTCAGCTCCGTACGATATAACACCTGGCGCTATGCCCAGAAAGGGAGTATCAAAAGCCAGCACGCCTTGAATATGAGGGAACATAAACGAGCCGGGTTCGACAACAGGAGAGGCACGGCCTTTCCCTGTATCCTCCTCTGGGCCTGTGGTGGATTTCGGGGGTATCGGCTGCTCCGAAGCCAACAAAATCAACGATTCCGCAGCAACAATTCCACCCATCGAGTGGCCGATCAGGAAGACATGAACGGAAGGATCGACCGTAGGCGACGGGGTCTGATTCTCAACCTCCAAGTCAATAACCTGGTTCTGTAACCTATATATCAAAAGGTCAGTCAACTACTCGCGCAGATTCATCGTTCGCGCGTCGACAACATACCACTCCCGAAAATTGGCCACACATTCTTTCAGCTCGCCGCGAGTATCATACCGAGGATACACGGCGGTGGCGACTTGCACATTGGGCAAGCAACGGCCCACCACTGCCTTTAGACGTTCGGGGAAACTCCCAAATGTATCATCGTCTCCCTATCGATGGACTGGTCAGCAAGACGATATGGCATATTGCGGCCGTCTGACTGGCGCGTGTCCTCTGGGCAAGCGGCGAAGAACAGAAACAGACATACCTTGAAGCCATGGATAAATACTAGAAGAAGCGACTTTTTCATCTTTGACCGCAGATCTGATGTCGAGCATTCATCTTCGCGGGGTTAGCCTGATCGGAGAAAGAGATCTGGTAGGGTTGGTGGTCTGAGCTCGCTATTTCCGAATCTGGAGCAGGAATGGCTACTTACGTCATCGCTGTGTTATCATGTGACTGTCCAAGTATGCAAGACACCAGTTGATGGCGCCAGATCGAAACGACAAACATCCCATTGATATCAGAGAGGAAGCATTTGATAGTATAATCAGCCAGTACCTCACCCCAGCATATAAACTCAACCCAGTAACGAAGCTCCGAATAAAAGCCCAAGATTATGTGATCGGTTAATCTTCAGCAACCGCACATCCTCGGCTTCTCCACTTTCCTCCCAGGCGTTGCCGGCCCGAACCCATACTTGATAGTAGCAGCATGTAGCTACGTACCTCGTAGACACGAAGTGAAGACATTACACAAACCATTATTTCCAGACTCAACTTATACATAATTTAAGAAGGGATACCAGAAAATAAAATCATGGCAGGAGAAATCTACAACATCGTGAAGCTCGTCCCTCGACCGGAGAAGTTCAACGAGGTGTGTTTATACCCTATATAAAACCCACCCCTGATCAATGAATACCCAGGTATTCATACACGCCTTTCCTACACTCAGACTAACCAGCGGACATGATATAATGTAACCAGCTCGTGGAAGCATTCAAAACCCTCTCCAAGCACGTCCAGGAACAGGAGCCCAAGACCCAAATCTACTTTGCCCTGCAGCCGCCCAAGAGCCAGGAGCTGATTATTGTGGAGAAGTATGCTTCCCTTCCCCCCTCTTTCTTCGATATCTATGATAATATCCAATTACTCTATCACGCTATTGCCACCCGCTGACCCCACTCCGTGAATAAATAGATATACAGACATCGACAACCTGAAAGCCCACGCCGCGTCGTCGGAGTTCAAGACATTCTTCAAGGCTGTGGGGCCGCTGCTGGCGCAGCCTGCGGAGATCAAGACTTCTTCCTTTGTGGGGGGGTTTGATGGACGGTCGAAGCTTTAGAGTTTGTCTTCCTGTAGGGGTGACTGCGCCGTTTTGATGGGTCGTCAGACAATCTGTTACGATCGATAGCGGTGACTCTGCCTGGTTAGCTACTGAGGAAGAATGGAAGTGTGATTGGTTTGATGGCTACTCTTGTAACAAAAAGGTTGTAGAAACCAGGTGTGATCGAGAAAGACGGCACATTGCAAATGTAGTAGCTTGTGTTGATTTGATGTTCAAGATGCTTGCTTATGTTATTACGGAGCTTCGCTATAGAACTCTCTGGAGCGCACCTTACCGATATTATCTATATGTTAAATCCCCAATGTTCTAGAAGAAACGCAAACGTAAACAGCGCGCAATATGTGCCTATCTGATTTATATACACCACTACATATGTATATACCAACTCCCAAACGAGGAAGCCAGATCCGCCCATCTCAACAGTAAATTCAAAAGTACAAACGCCAATCCAACTCTATCTTCCAACTCAGCAAGCAGAGCTAGTAAATCCCCCGAATATCCAAGCTATACAGTAGTAAAATTCAAGCCCAAAACTAAACGGGTATACCCGAGTTTGATGCTGAACTCCAATATCGTACCAACAGTGTAAAGTAGATTAAATTTAGAGAGGAAAAAGAGGCAAAAAGAGGCAAAGGCTGATGAATGATTCGTGATTTCGTTTATCCGTGAGCCGTGCATCGTTGATTGGATAGGAAATGGTAGGGGGGAACGTCGGTCGCGTAGCGTATCTTTCAAACGGCTGACTCTTCCAGACGTACCCATTCACGGGGAACGTCCATGCTGCGGTTGACGCGGCCGCCGGGGGTGAGAGGGACGTCGACACGGCCTCGGCCGCGTTCGTCGTCGGCATGCTCTTCATAGCAGGAAAGCCGCGAGAAGTAGTCCTCGAGCACTGCGTCCCGGTCGTTGTCGCCGACGATCGAAGTGTATTCGGGTGGCGGTGTGATCAGCGGCGGTGGCGGGGGGACGTCCTCGAAAGGAGGTGGAGCGAAGGACGGGGCTCTCAAGAGATGCATTGGGCGCGGTGCCGGGTCGGTAGCCGGCTCGCTTGCCCCGTACGCCAAGTGTGCCTGAGGAGGCAGAGCTAAACCGCCAGAGCCGTTGGTGAAGCTCCGGCTTACTGGCCGTCCAGGAAATGGTTCCTCCCCCTCAGAGGGAGGACGATGGCCGCCTGGGTTGTTCCGGTGGAGGGGAGGGGCGCCGGGGCAACCGCACTCGAACTCCTGCGCTTGCGGCACGGGGTCTGAGTTGGGGGTCGTATACGCGGGGAGACAAATGTTGGCTTGGGTGGCTTTGCAGGAGAGAAGATGGAATGGAGAGTCGATTGAGATCTCAAAATGTCTCCTCTTTCCTGAATCCCGTTCGTCAACCTTAGAGAGGCGCAGTACGATCTGGGCAAAAGAGGTAAGATTAGCACGGTGTAGACCAACATCCGCTAATAGGTTGCATACCTTGATCCAATGGTTGATTTGGATATTTTCGTAGGTCGTGTCAAAATGCAGCCTTTGAGACTCGTCGCGGTGCTTCATTTCGTGGCAGCTCGGGAGCTGGACATTGAATTCCATCTCGGTCGGGCCGGTTCCTGCGTCGCTGGCGACGTTTCCCAATAAACTCGTCCGACTTCGATCTACGAGTTCTTCGCCCCGCGCCGCAGCCCCACGCTGATCGAAACCGACACCGCCGCCAGCCATGACACGCATCGAGCTGCCAGGGTAGGTGCTCGTACTGGGAGAATCCGCTCGCTTCTCAAAGAGGAGGACCTTCTTGGCTGGCTGAAAGCGGTGGACGCTCTTGTCGCTTGTCCAGTGTTGTATATTTTCGGAGACGTAGACCTTAATTCGATGACACTCCACCTTGGAGAGGGGTGTCAGTTTGAATGCGATGGGCACCTGGGTGCCCAAGGGAAACGACTTCCCCGAGATGACAATATCGTAGTGCAGTTGATCCTCCCAGTTTCGCGAGATCGCGATCGGCTCGACTTGCTCCAACGAACCCTCGGCTGGGGTCCGAATAACGGGGACCTCCAGGTTGCCCAGCAGGTTGGGCCGGAACGCGCCCGACCGTTCCACGATGGCTTCAAGATCATATTTCACAAAACCAAGTTCGGTATTGATGGTCTCCGGGAGAGAGCCATCAACGGGAAATTCGAAGTTATATATATAATCACCAGGAGGGAACATTAGGTAGTTGCGCGGTGGATGAACGCTGGTGTTGGATGGTGCATCGTTCTTGCCAAAGCTGCGCGAGTGATGATGATTTGACTGCAAGGAGAGTCGCTTCGACCCACTACTGCTCAACGAGGTCGAGGATCCTGTTTTCGGGAAAAATTCACGGGCGAACGTTGTCGTTCCATCCTTTCCCGTCACGGACGGCAACGGTTTGGCAAGTCGATAGAAGGATGCACCGTAATCATTCTGCATCAGTGTGCTACCGCCGTGATCGAAGTAGACGACGCCATGGGTGACGAGGTCGTTCTTATCGTGGAAGTGGATTTTCTTCGGGGGGATTCCTAAAGTGAAACAATGTTGATGAGCAAAAAGGACGCGTCGAGCAAATTGGATCCAGTCGTACCGTCAGGCCAGTCCGTTTGAGCATGTCCACGGAAACAGACAGACACCTTTTTGATCTTGACAGGTTTAGTCACCTTGAGATGCAGCTGCCCGCGCAGAATCGCAGACTTCTTGGTGCTCGGATCATTTTGATCGTATCCCTGCAGATACAGCACGGGCTCCGTGAGAGCGACACCGACGGTGATGCCGCTGCCCGTCGCGACAGTTTTCTCGTTGCGCAAGGTCGGAAACTGCGCGGTGGAATCTGGAGGGGGGGTACTCTGGCGTGTCGATCCCGAGCGGGGTCGATTTGCCGAAATGGTTGACGAGGAATCCGATCGTAATCGGCCAGTCTGCGTATTTGCAGCCGCCAACATTTGAGCATCGTCTGCGGAAATTAGGATTTCCGACACGGGACGTGGACGGCGTGAGCGAGACATCGGGAGGCCAGGTGGCGATGGGGTGGGTTGCATGAGACCGGGGACCCCCAAGCGGAGGAGGCGCTTTGCGTTTTCCCGTGGACCCGCCAGCTTTCTGAAGATCGACCTGCGACGGTGGCCTTGCTTGGAATATGGGTCCGGTACCAAACTGGACCCAGTCGGTGTCGGAGGACTAAGCGACCGGCGATGGTCCGCTCTGGCGTTCAGGAGGCCGGGAAATAAGGGGAGAGTATCAGGCGCGCCACAGGGAAGTTGATGGACAGGGTGAGTCGAGACCGAACCTGAAGATTCCTGCGGCAAAGACGGAACGTGAGTAGTTGTCATCATTGCAAAGAGACCAAATCCCGCATCATTGATCGGACGATAAACATGAACATCAGGGATCCCGCCAGACAGGGCTCTTTCTTTTTCTTTTTCTTTTTTTCTCTTTCTTTCTAGTCCACTCAACTGCCGCCACTGCGCAAAGGAAACGGAGGATTTCGCACGGGATGAATGAAACAACAATAGTGAGGCGCGTGAGGAATAAAGGATGGGCGCAGCAACACTATTCCCTTGGTTGGAAGTGGGAAGAGAGGCACGTATGTACAAGCAACGCGACAAGAAGAGAAGACCAATGATTTAAGGGCGAGGAGCAAGGCAAGAAGAAGACAAAAACAGCAACGACAGGCAATGAAGTCACTTACCCTGCAGGTAGATGATACACCCGGGAATCAAGATTGGGGCGCTTGAAGGGTATATTATAAGGTACACCGTACTGGGGATTATGGTGATTATGATAGGACCGAGCGATTATCCACAATCCTGATGCATAGAGTCGTGCGACCTCTCAAGGCCTATTTTTAATTTCCTTTTCCTTTTTCTCTTTTTTTTTAAAAAATTTGTTTTCTTTAGTTTTGGCTTGCTTTTTCACCCCTTAGTCCGCTTTGGCTGAAGATCGACTGACCAATGCAAGGAGGACCACACTTGATATATTGATATCGATATATCGGAAAAGGGAGGGGGGATCTGGAGGAAATTGGCGAGAGAGAGGGGAACGACGAGGCAGCAATGATTTGGGAACAGAAGACCAATACCAGGTAAGATAGCTTGGTGAAGATGATCAACTGCTGTCCAGCAAACCAGAGACAGCGAAAAGGCCAGAAGGGTCGATGAACTGCGGGGAAAAGGGTCTCTGGAGGAGGTTAAGTAAGGTAGGGTACCGGGGTGGGTTGCCGTCAGGCTGCTGTCCAGGAAGAAATGAATCAATGATCTTTTTCCTTTATCGTAATACGAGTGGACGAGGGATGTGATGGTCCTGGCGTTGCGGGAAAAAAAAACGAGGCGGTGCCGAGGCAAGAACTAGGTAGGGATATGGGGTCAGGCGCGTTTTTTTTTCTCAGGGTGTCGGAGTCCAAAAAGAGGAAAGCAAAAAAATCCAATCAAAAGTCAAATCAAAGAGAGAGAGAAGGGAGAGAGAGGTAAAAAGTACAATGAAATATGACAGATATTAGGATTCTGGGATGATGACGCGGAGTGGAAGGAGGTAAACTTCCTTACGATCCGGCGATCCGTGGGTGAAGTTGGATAAAGTGGTTGATTAATCAATCCATTGATGATATCAAACCCGTGGATCAACCTTAAAATGGGCTTCTAAGTTTTGTCGACGGGTATTTCGAACCAATTTTTTATTTCTCTATCGTTTGACGAAGGGTAGGTAGTACGACACCTACAATCCCCAATTCCACCTATCAACAAAAGAGACCCATAGTGGATCATTGGAGAAAATGTTCATGAGTGCCTGTATCGATTTCTAGATATTGGAATATGGGTGTATTCGACATGTGACACGTATACGGATGGATTCAGATAACTATCAGCACCAAAATGTACCCACCCAAACAGATCCCTAGTTACCTACTATGGTAGTACGGACACCTGACTCTGTCAAGAAGCTGAAGAAAATGTGCAGTGTGAGGCTCGGGGCCGAGGATTAAGCGGATGTTGCCCCCGTGCGGATAACCCGGCACCGTTTTAACCAGTATCCCAGTCGACATTATTAACTGTCTTTTCGACCAGAAGAGAAAGACGTTCCTAACACCAGTCTATAACAGCTGAACAGCCCACGAGGGAGTTTACCAACATGGGGGTTCAGGTGAGTGACAGGCGGTCTGAGACCAGTGGATGTACTCTGTACATCAGTGCAAATCCTCCCCGAGCGCCAATCCCCGTGCGGGGATCGTCTGGGAGAACCTGTTGGTTGTCGGTGTGGTGGTGGGAGCTGCATGACATCATGATATTCTCACCTCCATATCTGTGCCCCCCCCCTCCCCTCCCTGGACGGGAGTAAATCATGGTATTATTGCACTAATTTAAGAAATGTCACGATCATCGCCGTGGTCTCGTGGATATTTGTACTGAATGAGGAAGGGGAAGTGGGTATCAAGAAGTATTGCAAGTGTTGCTTATGCTTGAATAAGACCAATTATTTTGTTCGTTTTTTTTTTTTTTTTTTAACCTTGTTGGCTTGATGTCCATTCTATTTTAATCTCATTTTCCCGTCTTATTTCAAAAAGGGCCGGTCAAAGTTTATTTCATATCTTAAATTCGTCTGTCACTCTTCAGTCATAACCGCCTATCTCACGCGGCATTGGCCGGCGCCTTGGGTCGGCGCTGATACGCTTCCATGCTGTCGGGGTACGGGATCATATCCACTGATCCACAGAGAGAATGATTCCTATTTCTGCTAGGCGTGGATCGCTTGCATTCTAGAATGTTGGAATGAGCATCCCTAGCGTAGTGATGAGTGACCTCATCACTAGATTGGCTATAATATTCATCATCATCATCAGCTGTCGTCTGCTCGCTCATAGATTTTATCAACCCACACATTCTCTTTGCATTTGCTCAAGTGGGAGGTCTTTAGATTACTCTGTCGCTTTACCTCTATACGCCACAATCTGTTGTAGGCACATGGCTACTTGACAGTATATATGTCGCAGATCGTGGTAGATAGGCTTGACACCTGGCAAAGCCACGGGCAACCCACATGCAGAGCTAATCTGGTTTAAAGTTGAGGCGTCAACTTTGACAGGAATTGAGATTAGCTCTTCCTTAGAAGATACCCCCGCTGACGCCTTGCGTCATTGCACATTCCGGGTTTGGGATATCCCTTGCATATATATCTTTGTGCCTTCTGGAATTGAAAGCGGGGTGGGTGGTGATGAGACGGTCCTAGATTCTGTAGTGTGGGGGTTTGAATGATTGAGATTGAGAGAAACGTGATCTGCTCGCCATGTGAATGACGGTATATGTAGACTAGCACGATGCCACTTTCGCTTTCGTGCTTCGAATCCAGTCTGCGTAGTATGTTGACCCCAGAAGGGACCGTATATTAGCTAAAACGCTATCAACTATTTTGAACGTCCTTCATTCGCTGGTCAAGGCTCTTCTCTCATCAAGAAAACCAGTTGTCGTCGATCTCGGTGATATTCATCAATCCATCGCCTTCAAGCAGATTCGGATCTCCCCCCGCTTCCCCTCCAAAGTTTTCGTTCTCCATGAACAGATCGTCGAAACTCGATTCCCCCGGTCCTATGATATCCTCGGTGTTACTTCCGATCTGTGCGTCTGGCTGCTGATTGCTATTTTCACCCCCAGGGGTGTCTGTTCTCTGTAGGTCCAGGTCGAATACATCTCCGCCTGCTGGCCCGTTGGCGTCTGGCCCTGGTAGCTCCATGGCTGTATTCCCAGACGGATCATTCTCGTTCGTATGACCGTTGGTGCCGTCCACGGCATTGGCAAAGTTTGACCCGGACAGGAAATTCTCGTTCCCAAGATCATCGTCTCCGAAGTCTAGGTTGAGATCGAACTCGTTGGGGGCGCTGTTGTCGTTTAACATGGAGTGGAAACTGATTTCTTCTGGTTGATTTTGAGGTTGATCAGGAACTGCGGCCGCCGGTTCGTCGTTATTCTCCGGTTCTTGTTTCATAGGTTGATTCTCCTGCTTCACCGGGGCAGCTTCTTCGACCTTGGCGACCTCGGGTTGCTCCGTTTGGCCTGGGGCATCTTTTTCTGCCACCGCGCTGGCAGACTCCATTTCAGGCTGTGTTGGTGCAGGCTCCGGGTCTTGCTTGATGTCGGTTTCATCCATGACGGTGTCTTGGGCTGGTTGTAGGGCGGACTTTTGGGCCAAGACTGCTTCGTAGTCCCTTTCCAAAAACGCTTTGGCAATAAACTATTTACTGTTAGACAACTCCGATAGTAGACCCAGGACACTTGTAACATTGTCCACAGTTGATGAGAGGTCACTCACAATCTGTTCAGACAAGTTGTCCAATGCGTTCTGAAATTCTTCGTGGGCGACTGGGATCGTCCGCTTCAGCTGAGTTCTGGCCTGCGTCGAGCCTGCTGCCCGGAAGAATCGCCCGGTTTCGACCAGCTATAAAGTGCATGTCAGGCTCTCGTCCACCCACCGGGATCAATGGGGAATTACCGATTTATTGACCATCGTAGCTAGGACCCCCAAAGACTCGGGGTCCGCATAGCTTGTTGTAGCCATACTCGTGAGCTTCGGATGATCTCTTCTTCAGAAGCGAGATGGGGGAGTATGGAGATCCTGCTATGCCCAGTTAATGGATCGGGACTAGTGTTCACTTTAAACAGAAAATTGACCGGCCCAGTATCCATAAGAAAAGGCACAAAAAAAAAAAAAGAAGACAACATTAAGACAACATTAAGACAAGATTTGATATTATTGCTACCACTGCGACCAGCTCTGGGCTGAGTGGGATTTACAGGTCATACATCAGTCCAATTGGAAAAAGGCACGGCACCCCAGGAATCGTGATTATGTGATGTATCTAGCGCTGGACGATCTGTATCAGGGGCTGAAAAAAAAACCCAAAGGAACGTACCTGAATCAGCTTCCAGAAATAAACCGGGACAATGTCTCGCGACAGATCAATAGATCGATAGATCAACTGGGGGGGGGGGCAAGTGGTAAGCGCCTTTAGGAGGGAACAAAGAGACGTGAGAATGGGATGTCTGAAGTTCCAGGGAAGAACTAACGCCATGCGGACTAGATCGGAGCTCACCTTTCCCCACCCGCAGCGGCTCTTGACCATCCAAACTCCCTCGTTCCCTTCAATCATCCATCTTCTCCCCCTGTTGTTCTTCCAGATTTCAATTCCATTCTGTTTCATTTCTCACCTGTTTCCTATTTCCCTTTTCCTTCTCCTCCATCGCGTGTCTACTGGTGTCGAGATCCCCAAGGTGATTTGTTCATTTCTTCCCTTTTGGTCTTCTGTTTTCTTTATTTTCCTATCTTCATCAGCTGTCGGAGTGCTCTCCTAAGCTTTGTCGGCCACTTCTTCGCTCTACTTGTTGGGGCCTGTCGTTGAGAAAGTGGTGTTTTGAGTTGTCTGGATTCTAGCGCCTTTTAATCCGTCACGAATCTTTCTTTGTTTTTCAATCTTTCCCACCTTTACTCCAATCGTCACTTCGTCGACGGTTTTTTTTTTTTCTTCCCTCTACGCTTTTCGTTTTCTCTTGTCTTCTCATCTAGCGCTTGTTGCTCCATCTTCAACCCTTCCCCTTTCTCTTTTCCCTTTCCTTTCTTTCCTTGTCTATTGTGTCCTTTGGTGAGTCGATCCCCGCGTCGCTTTCCGCCTTTTGACACCCAGCAAGCAGCCTCTGACTGCGTAACGCCCTGCATCATCCCGTCACAGGCAGCAGATTTTCCCATCACCTTACTTCCCCTGATCAAACACTACCAATTGGGGGGGAGAGGGAAAAAAAAGGAAAATACCTAATAATAGTAACTGACCGGTATAGCATTTGGATTACGGATCGCCTCCTTTGTATATTCCACCTCGCGGACTTCTCACAATGGCTGATAACGTTCCCGCCTCGACTCCCTCGAACATCCCTCAGGCTTCGCCTGCTGCCGCCGGACAGCATTACGATGGCTCTCAGGGTAACGGGCCAGCGAATCCTTCCCACATGCCTCCTCCTCCCCGCCCGCCCGTGATCATTCCTCAGAATACCAACCCGATCCCGACCGCCATCACCTCTCCGATGTCCGGGAACATGATGTCTCCGACCAGCGCGGGCGGGTTCGTGCGCCGGGCGGCCCCTGAGCCGAACAAGAGGGCTCTCTACGTCGGTGGTCTGGACCCCCGGGTGACTGAGGATATCCTGAAACAAATCTTCGAGACCACGGGCCATGTCAGCAGTGTGAAGATCATCCCCGACAAGAACGTGTGTTTGCTCTTACTCTAGCGTTGAGAACTCCCTGTGGTACTGACTGAAACAGAAGTTTAACAGCAAAGGTTACAACTACGGCTTCATCGAATTCGACGACCCGGGTGCCGCCGAACGAGCGATGCAGACCCTCAATGGTCGTCGCATCCATCAATCGGTATGGGATCTTGTTCTCTCAAGTCCCCCTCTCGAGCAATTGCTGATGGTTTGGCAATAGGAAATCCGCGTCAACTGGGCCTACCAGTCCAACAGCACCAACAAAGAAGACACCTCGAATCACTTCCACATCTTCGTTGGAGACCTGAGCAACGAAGTCAACGACGAGATCTTGCAACAGGCGTTCAATGCGTTCGGCTCGGTGTCCGAGGCCCGGGTGATGTGGGACATGAAGACCGGCCGTTCTCGTGGCTACGGGTTTGTTGCTTTCCGCGACCGCAACGAGGCCGACAAGGCCCTGACCTCGATGGACGGTGAATGGCTTGGCTCCCGCGCTATTCGATGCAACTGGGCCAACCAGAAGGGACAGCCTTCCATCTCCCAGCAGCAGGCCATGGCCGCAATGGGCATGACCCCGACCACGCCGTTCGGTCACCACCACTTCCCTACGCATGGCATCCAGAGCTACGACATGGTGGTCCAGCAGACCCCGCAGTGGCAGACCACGTGCTATGTGGGTAACTTGACCCCGTACACCACTCAGAACGACCTGGTTCCCCTCTTCCAGAACTTCGGCTACGTCGTGGAGACTCGTCTCCAGGCCGACCGTGGTTTTGCCTTCATCAAGATGGACACGCACGAGAACGCGGCCATGGCCATTTGCCAATTGAACGGATATAATGTCAACGGACGACCCCTGAAGTGCAGCGTATGTTTTCTACCTTGGCATTGTGCTTGCGCTACCTGCTCTGCTTGACCCCGTCCATTGTCTACGTGCTAATATCGTCGCAGTGGGGCAAGGATCGCCCTCCCACCGGTCAATTTGATAACTTTTCTGCTCCCCAGGGTAACTCCCCTTTTAACTCCAACCCTACCCCATTCTTCCCTCCGTACCCTGGTCCAGGAGGACCGATGGCTCCTCAAGGTAGCTCTCCTACCGACGACGTTTATCACAGTGGGGAACTGTAGCTGATGAGACGAGGTTCAGGACCAAACCCGGCTGGTAGAGGTTGGGATCAATCGGGAATGGCTGGCCAGGGGTATGGTCAAGTTCCTGCAAATGCTGGCTTCGGCCGCGGACAAGCCGCACCCAACGCCGGCTGGGCTCAGCCCAACAACGCCAACTTCGGAAATGGCTTTGGAGGCTACCAGTCGTAGCCTGTCGATATACTCCCTGAGCATACCATCCTGGCTACTGCTGAGCATAGTGTCAACAAAAAGATTGATCTTCAAGATGGCTAGTGGTTATAGCTACCTACAGTGATAAGAAGAGGCCCTTTTTGCTTGTGTGTGGTTTTTCCTTTTCTCTTTTCTCTTGTCGTGTCTCTTTTCCTTTTCTTTTTTTTTTTCTTTAACTATTTTTTCTTTTTCTGTTTGTTCTTACTTCTTCAATTTTCTTTTCTTATCTTCTCTTTTACTCCAATTACCAATCATCTCCTCCCCTTCTATCTGCATACTTCTCTTCCCATTCAATGTTTCCCATCGTTGTCTCAAATGGATTTTGAAGCGCTTCCCCCATTCTCGACTGCTTTCTTCCTGAAATTAAACCTGTGTGTTATCGTACACCAAATACCCCAAGTTCATCTTGCTGGTTAAATCCCAATTACTTCTTTCAATCATGTCAAGATTCCTGCTCAGGAGCTTCTTGGACTTATGGTTCAAGTCTTTTGCAGAACAAAAAAGTACCTCTTCATGTCTTTCTTCCTTATCTTTATCATTATTTTGGACCGTCATTTGATAATTCTTTCTCGGAGTTTCTAAAGTATATCATACATAGTTTGTATGCATGGCCGATTTCGGGAATCGGGTTCTCTTATGCATGCCCGCACTGTATCTCTTGTTCTGCCATATAGCTGGTTTTTCTTTCAACATATTTCTGTTCCATTATTCTTATTTTTTGAGATATTTGTCATCTTCAATATGTGTTCTCGCATTCTGTCCAACAAAACTGACCCCCTGATGATACCAATTTGTTTTTTCGTCGCCAGTGCCCCTATACAAATCATTACTTTAGGTCTGGTTGCCGGTGGTTTGGATATTCGATAGTATTTTACCCCTGACAATCTGAATGAGACGTTGTGAAAGACCAAGAGCAAAACTGGTAGATTCTGGAGATAGACTAGCTACCAGTCATAGTTTGTATCTTGTATTCCTAATCTAATTGACAGCAAATACTCGGTGTCACTTAAGATACTCCGCACTCAAGAAACCGTTTCCAGACCCGGTCTAAACTTGGGTCTACTAAGGCCGGGTACCGTACTTATGGGGTGCGGTTGATAGTGGGTTGCTTACCGCCCGGTTTTTGGGTGGTCCAGACTACCCGTTCCAACTCCAACCCTTTTGTCTTTCGCAAGAAACAACCTCCCCGATGAATACCCGCGCCAAACGATCTTCCACGTTTCCGATTTGAATGAGACCATCCTAACAATCGGCTGATATGGTTGCGCCCAGATCGCGCCAATGGAAGATGCAAACGGGCCCAAAAGCATAATCCCCACGCCGCCGGACAACGATGACCAGCAGCACCCAGGGCGGACGCGCTCCAGCAGCGCAAGCAGCGGACACAAGCGCACCACATCCGGCTCGCTCCTATCACGACTCTCCTTCCTGCGAATGATGCAAGCCAACCAGGATAACAACCTGTCCCAGCGAAACTACCCCAGCGCCAACCGCGATAGCGTCGACGAGCTCGGCCCGGGCCTAAAGGGGGGCAAGGCCATGTCGACCGCGCTGCAGCAGCACAAGCGCACACGCAGACGGAGAGGCTCGCTACGGAAGACGGCGCTGCTGGGCACGCGGTTCGAACACCGCGATAAGAAGATCAGCCGGACGTCGTCGGATGTTCTGCGGGGGGAGGTCAACAAAGGACCACAGCAACTGCCGCCGCCCCGCGCCGGTACGTTCCCTGTCGGCAGTGACATGTACCCTATCGGCAATCAGGACGAAGAAGAAAGCTATGAAAATCCGCGAGCGTGGACATTCATGGAGGCGCCGTCGAGGTCTGCGGGGGACCATTCTCATCTGCCCCTCGCAAAGGACGACAAGATGCTCGGGGGTGAGACGACCGACGAGGAGGAGATCATGACGTTCCCGCGCGTCAAGAACACAAACGCCGCTGTGGCAGCGGCGCTGCATAATTCCTCCGCGGGCGGCAATGCCGGCGCTGCAGGCTTGCACCTCCCGACGACCGCTTCCGGCGCAGACCCCTACTACGCTCTCCAGGCAGACCCGGCGTACAGGGCCATCCATCGGGCCAAATCGCCTCTCACGACCCATCCGGCGGATATAGCGGGCGGCCAGGAACTGGTGCGGGACTACTCGGAGACGGAGTGGTGGGGGTGGATCATTCTGATTGTGACGTGGATTGTGTTTGTTGTCGGCATGGGGAGCTGCTTCGGGGTGTGGAGCTGGGCTTGGGACGTCGGTGAGACGCCCTATGCGCCGCCTGAGCTGGAGGATGATCCTACGCTGCCTATCGTTGGGTATTATCCGGCGCTTATTATTCTGACGGCTGTTATGTCGTGGGTTTGGGTCGTGGTTGCTTGGGTGGGTATGAAGTATTTTAAGCATGCAAATATCTCGGGCGATGATATATGAATGTACCAACCAATGTATTTTTTATGCGCTATGATTATCGCCCTAGACAAGTTCCCAGAGAGCTGTGTATTTACCTCCTTAAGGTTCAAAATCTCTAATAGCAATGTGCCCAAAACCAAACATGCCAGTAGTAGAAGTGAAAATAGTCAAATTAAAATGATCTATGTATGCTGCACCGAGAGACACAATACCAAAGCAACAACCCATGCATGTCTTCTCGACAACCTCGCAATAGTAATCCAATCACCAACGCCAGAGCCCATCAACTCCAATATCATATCCAATCAAGACAATCGCTAATGCGACAACGCGCACTGATTCGCGACAGCAATCTGGTGCTGTTCGAGTCCTCCGCTGGGATCACCCAGCCTCGATCCGTTCAGACTGATAGCCGGTGTTCCCGGGCCCTCCGTGTTCTGAGGCTGCACTGTTGTTCCCGGCGCCGTGCTAACGAGGCCCTTGGACACGGCGAAGCAAGAGGATCGGTCTTGGTTCACGTTCTCGACGTAGAACTCGTCCATGATTGGGTGAAGCAGGACGGTCTGCTTGTCGATTGTGACGACGGAGTTTGCGGGAACGGAGACCCAGTTGTCTATGATTGGTACTGTCAGTGTTTTGCCTTTCTCGAGAAGAAAGAAGAAGGGGGCCGGGGGGTTAAATCGTACGTCTCTCAAAAGTGATCGGCTCACTAGCCACCAGAACAATATCCGCGCCCTTATCATGGCGCTCCATCTTATAGTGGCCCTTATCCGCCCCCTCCTTCCACTTCGTCCCAGACGAGAAATACAAACTCGCCGGCTCATCCGTCTTGCTGCTGATATACCGCGTACAAACAACCGTATTCCCATCCGTGACGGCAAAATTGAGCAAGCTGCGCGTCTCGACCCCCGAAACATTGTGCCTCTTGGGAATATCGCGAATAAACTCATTAATCTTCGCGATGGTCTTCACCATCACATGCCTCAGCACCTCATGCCCAAACCCATCAGGCCCCGGATCCGCACTCGGATCCACGCCCTCCTTCTCCAGCAGGTCCAGAAACAGCGCAAACGCCCACTCGCTGTCCGTGCCGCCCTTGACGCCCAGGTACCACTTGTCAGTCAGCGAGTCCGCCAGCGTCCGCTTGATGTACCCCCATCCGCCGACGTTGCCGTTGTGCATCCACATTAGACGCTGGTGCTGGAAGGGGTGGCAGTTGTTGTCGGAGAGGGCGCCTTCTGTTGTTGCGCGCACGTGCGCGAAGATCAGGTTTGAGCATGTCTTGGAGGCGAGCCGCTCCAGGTTCTCGCAGTTCCATGCGGGCAGTGTGGATGTGAAGATGCAGGGCTCTGGGCCGAGTTTTGGGTCCGTGTAAAAGCCTACGCCGAAGCCGTCGCCGTTTACGGGGCGGCGGTTGTCCTGTTTTGCATGTTAGATTGTACTTGGTTTCTTTCTTCTTCTCTGTTTTTTTCTTTTTTTTTTTTTCCTTTTGTATTTCCTCATGGGATACACTAGCTGGATCGGAGCTCTCCCGAGAGAGAATTGATTGCATGATATCGATAACGTACCAGTCTTAAGCGAGAGTCATACGACTGAGTCAAGATAGAATGACTGGGTTCAGTGACCAACTTGCTGAGGCGAATGTCATGGCTGCCTTTGTATATCTGCGAAGGAGCGGTCAGAGACACATGTACTCCAGCCGTGTATGTATGGATGAGAAATGTACAAAGCTAACTTACCAAGAAACGGCACATGATAGAGGGTTCAAGTCCGACTACTCTATGCTCTAGAGGCTATGATTCACCAAAATAGGGGTAACGAGCCTGTAATAAAGGAATGCTAGAAAGTTGAAGTTTCGACTGTTGACCAGCAGGGCCGAAATCGCAGGCTGATAACGTGTGAGATCTGGTTTTTCCACTGTCGATGGAACAACACGTCACCCTGCACCACAGTATGTAAAAGATAAAGAACCAATTGAGCTCGATGAGCTTCAACAAAAATATAAGTGGTATTTGAAGAGTATATAGTAAAAGAAGCATGTGTTATCTACTATGATGATGTCGCCATTCCAATCCCACGTGACTCACACCGACTCCGTACGGGCGGCGACGCGGCCAGAGCGCGCAGGTCACGGGGCCCGCCGGCAGACATCGATGACATCCCGCTTTCTCTATTCCCGGCTTCACATCATCCGATTCTCCAACAGCTAGTTCTCCAAGCTCTGCACCTGTATCTTATTCCCACGTGGCGCTGAGCCCTGGAGATGACTACCTGCCTCCCTCTTTTCTACTAGAGAGGTGTATGAGATCACAACAACTATGAGCGGGAGAATTCTCTCCCACCGACTAGTTCCGCTCTTGCGGACGGGACTCCTCGCCCGCCGTCTACACAACGCCAGCGCTAGGACCGGGGGTTTGTTGCGCTCTGATGGCGGTGCCGCACTGCGAGGACGTGCCTGGCCGCTTGGGGCCAATGCTATCCATAATGTCCCCGCTGTGCGCACCATCTCGTTCGCGAGAATGCTTCCCAAGCTGGCTGTGAAACTTGCGAAAATCCCGACGATGTTGGGCGGGGCGACGGTGGCTGGCTTTGCTTATTTCCAGTACCAGGCTACCCGTATGTTGAATGATAATATTCTACTTGTGTTGGAGAGTGTGTTTGGCTAATGTGATTTTACCAGAGGCTGGAATTTATGCGATCGATGTGTTTAAGCGAGCGGGGGAAACCGCGGGCGATACGGCGTCGAGCTTATTTTCGGAACTGCAGGGTATGGCGGAACAGACCCAACGCGGCTGGCAGAAGACTACGGGGGACATTGAAGTCCCGGAATGGCTGCAGAAGATTCTGAGGTTTGACGAAGAGTCTCAATCGAACAAGGGTGGATCTTCGGGGGGCGGGAAAGAACCCAAGGAAGCTAGGTCTGGTGCTGCGGCGGCGGCTGCAGGCGCTGCCACCGGTTCGGCGTTAGCATACGAGGATGACGATGAGCGATCGGATAAGCAAGCCGCGGAGGACGATCAAATGATGCTTCTGACGCGGAAGATGATTGAGATCAGGAACATCCTTCAGACCGTCGGGCAGTCCAACACGCTCACGCTCCCGTCGATCGTCGTCATTGGCTCTCAGTCGTCCGGGAAAAGCTCGGTTCTGGAGGCCATCGTGGGACACGAGTTCCTTCCGAAAGGTTCCAACATGGTCACTCGACGACCCATCGAGCTTACGCTCGTCAACACGCCCAATGCGCAGGCTGAATATGGAGAGTTTCCGGCTCTTGGATTGGGCAAAATCACCGACTTCTCACAGGTGCAGCGCACCCTCACCGACCTCAATCTGGCCGTGCCTGAGAAGGATTGCGTGACGGATGATCCGATTCAGCTCACCATCTACTCCCCCAACGTCCCTGACTTATCTCTCATCGACCTTCCGGGCTATATCCAAGTTGCTGGCGAGGACCAGCCCCCGCAGCTGAAGCAGAAAATCTCCGACCTTTGCGACAAGTACATCCAGGCGCCCAACGTGATTCTTGCGATCTCCGCCGCAGATGTTGATCTCGCCAATTCGACCGCTCTCCGGGCAAGCCGTAGGGTCGATCCCCGAGGCGAGAGAACTATTGGAGTCATTACCAAGATGGATCTAGTTGATCCTGAGCGGGGCGCCAGAATGCTCGCCGACAAGAAATACCCCCTTCGTTTGGGATACGTAGGAGTCGTATCGCGCATTCCTCCTACAACAACCCTGTTCTCCCGAGGCAGCGGCAACATTACAAGCGCCATCATGAAGAATGAGCATTCCTATTTCTCTGCGCACCCCTCTGAGTTTGGCTCGCAGTCTGATGTGTTGGTTGGCGTGAACACCTTGCGCAACAAGCTCATGCATGTCCTCGAGCAGACGATGGCGTCAAGCCTAGCCGGTACTAGGGACGCCATCAGTCAAGAACTAGAAGAAGCGACGTACGAGTTCAAGGTCCAATATAACGATCGTCCTCTGAGCGCAGAGTCATATCTCGCCGAAAGCCTAGACAGCTTCAAGCATTCGTTTAAGGCCTTCGCCGAGAACTTCGGCCGACCGCAAGTCCGTGAGATGCTGAAGAATGAACTGGACCAGCGAGTCATGGACATCCTGGCCCACAGATACTGGAACCGACCAGTCGACGATCTGACCAGCGCACTGCCCGAAGTCGATCCCCTCAGCGACCTGCCCAAGGCCGATCCAGAGTCGCTCTATTGGCACCGTAAATTGGATGCGTCGACTTCCTCCCTAACCAAACTCGGCATTGGCCGGCTCGCTACGACGGTAGTTGCGAACGCCATCCAAACTCACGTGGACAGACTGCTCGCCGACTCCACTTTCGCTGCCCACCCATACGCCCAAAAGCAGATCGTGGACGCGTCCACCAGCATCCTCAACGACCGCTTCTTCAGCACCAGCGACCAGGTTGAGAACTGCATCAAACCGTATAAGTTCGAGATCGAAGTCGAGGATCCCGAGTGGACCAAAGGCCGCGAGAACGTCAGCAAAGTCCTGAAGGACGAGCTTCGCGCTTGCGAAGCAGCCTTGAAGCGTGTCGAAGACAACATCGGCAAGAGAAAGATCCGCGACGTAATGGGCTTCGTCGACAAGGTACGAAAGGGCGAGTTGGTCTTAGAAGGCGATGGTGCCGTCGGAGCAGGTGGATTCAGCGCTGCTCTCCTATCCAAAGGTACGAGAACTTCCTCCAACCCCACCCCCCCTCCCTTTTCAACCCCAATCCTAACCTACAAACCCCAGGCCGCGAAAGCATCTTCCTCCGCGACCGCGCCGACCTCATAAAAATGCGCCTCCTCGCAATCCGGTCCAAGCAATGCGCCACCAAAAAGAACAAATACTACTGCCCCGAGATCTTCCTCGACGTCGTCGCCGACAAGCTCACCTCAACCGCCGTCCTCTTCCTCAACGTCGAGCTCCTCTCCGAATTCTACTACAACTTCCCTCGCGAGCTGGACCTCCGCCTGGGTCGCCACCTCTCCGACGCAGAGATCGAGCGGTTCGCGCGCGAAGACCCCCGCATCCGCCGCCACCTGGACGTCATCCGCAAGAAGGAGCTGCTCGAGCTGGCACTCCAGAAGATCGAGAGTATTCGACAACTGGATGGGCGGAGCAGTTTGCACCGGGGTGGTAAGGAGCGGCCGGCGTTGGCGAAGGAGCAGCGCGGGCGGGGGTGGACTTTGTTCTGATATGCTTGATCTGTCTGACTTGCGCGTAGATACCTAGATATTGATTTCTCTCTCCTTCTTCTTTCTCTCTCCCTTTTTTTCTTGTTTACTATTTCGGCTCGTTGCTCTCCCGCGGTGGTCTGCATCTCCCACCCACCCGTCCACCTCATCTGAGAGTGCTCACCCAGATACATCCCCCCAATGCATTCCCACTACTTATTCCAACCCAGGATGAACCATGTATATTAAACACATCACGTTGGAAACAGTCATAATCAACCCTTCCTCCTAGTTCCAATATCCAATAGAAGCAGTATAGGATAGTAGTACCACCCAGTACCAAGCTATATCAAACACTCCTACTACATGATCAATGTCCAATGTCCAATGTCCAATACCACCAAACAGATAAGATAGTCCATGCACCATTCCAAGGACGGGAAAGTCGACCGCTTGCTCATGACGAAGTAGATAGAAAGATAGATAGGCAGGCACATTCTATGTATGGGTCCTACTGATAATATACGATGTATGAGTTGGGTTTACTCGGGGAGATCTAGCCAGACTTGTTTCCATGGTTTCACATGGCCTAATCAAACTAAAGTAACTAGAGTTGTACAATTCTAGTGTTTAAGCGAAAGAGGTAGGGTATGGTTACAGAAAACAAAGAAATGATCCAAGGATGGTAGTACAAAGAATAGATAAGGAAGCTAAATGGAACAGGTGAGAAAGACAAAGTAGGGAAATAGAAAGACAGGAAACGATGTCATAGAAAATAGAAATAGGAACGATTATGACAGGTTCTAGAGTATCTCTAAAAAAAAAAAAAAAAAAAAAAAGACATGAATAAATCAATCAACCCCACGCCAGTCTATCTATTCAATACACGGAGAAGAAAACAAAGGAGAAGAAAAAAGGATAAAAAAAAAAAAGAGAAATTAGTGCTTTTCGAAAACCTCGTTTCGATAGATTTGTTGGGCTAGATTTAGCCAACTAAATGCATCGAGATCTCTCCGGGGCTATGACACTAGATGTAGCTGTCATAGAATCTCAACGAGTTCAGGGTATTAGACAGCCCTGGGTGGTGTTGAGGGCAAGAAGGGTAGATGGAAAAAGAAAAGAACATGGTCGTAGAAACGGCGTCAAGGAAAGGTGAGGGGGGTGAGGGACAAAGCGAGAGGTTGGTTTCCTCGTGCCCCGGGTTATGAGAAAAGGATGGTTGAGTGAGGGAGGGTAATTGGTCGAGATGTTTACTCGCGAGACACGTCACGGCCGAAGAGCTTGGCCTTGATCCAGTCCACAGCGACCAAAACACGGTTGCGGTCTATAACAGTTATCAGTAAACCATTCAAAATGAAAGGGGATGAGGGTAAAGACTTACTGCTGAAGCACATGCTCAGGTAGGCGCTGCGCCAGAAGAGGTAGGTCATGGTCCCACCGCTTGCGATATTGCCACTCAGCCAGCTGATATCTGCAACCGCGCGCTCCTTGCCAATGTAGGCCAGACTGCCCTGGTGGGAGTACTGGAACGGGCCGATCTGCTTGATGCGGCGCAATTGACGCTGGCGCTCACGGATATCGTCAAAGACCTTGTTCCGCTCGTCGCCGTTCTTGGCCAGGGCCTGGGCGTCGGACAGACCCTTCAGTTCCTTCTCGAGAGTCTCCGTCTTGGCCATGGTGTTGAACAGGCGCGCCAGGAAAGCACCTTCTTGGCCGGCAACCTGGGCGGTGGGGGCGTAGTTGGTGATCGCACAATCGCCGACGGCCCAAACGTTCTCGGTGCCGTTGACGACGAGGTACTCGTTGACGGCCAGACCGCGACGCGAGTTCTTCTGGGCGGGGAGCTGGTTCATGAGGTCGCGAACGACGTTGCGCACCGCGTTACCGGTAGCCCAGACCAGCAGACCGTAGGGGATGGTCTCCAACTCCCGGGAGCCATCGGGCTTGGTGACCTCAGCCTCAATGTACTTGTCGGTGACGTTCTTGACCATGGTCTTGGCCCGGATGCTGATAGCCTCCTCCTTGAAGGTCGACTCGGTGTAGTCAATGAGCTGCTTGGAGAACATGGGGAGCACGTTGGGCAGCGCCTCGACCAGGGTGACGTGGAAGTTCTTCTTGATATCGGGGATCCACTTCTTCAAGTCCTCCTCGAAGAAATCCTGCAGCTCACCGGCAAACTCAACACCGGTCGGGCCACCACCGACGACCACCATGTGCAGGAGACGCTTGACCTCCTCGGGCGACTGATCCTTGAACATCGCGGTCTCGACGCAGTCCATGATACGCTTGCGGATCTTCTGCGCATCGCCGACTTCCTTCAGGAAGCAGGAGTGCTCCTTCACACCCTTGATGCCTATCATTGTGCGTTAGCGAGTGTCATCAAGACGGGGGGAGTATCGAATTAGTACATACCGAAAGTAGCGTTCTCGGCACCAACACCCACGACAAGCATATCGAAGGGAACCACGGTGTGGGAGATATCACCCTTGATTTCGGAGTCGTCGCTGATGTATACCACGCGCTTCTCGTAGTCGATCTTTGTGGCCTCGGCTTCGTAGAACTTCACGCCGGCGACTTTCTGGCGAAGGATGTTCCGGATCGGCTCCATAATCGAACGGTGCTCAATCAGACCGGTCGTGCACGACGGCAGCAGGGGGGTGAAGAGGAAGTAGTTTCGGGGGGAAACCACGACGACATTGTAGTTTTCCGTGTCGAGCTTCTTCAGCAGAGAAACGGAGCCCCATCCGGTACCTGGCGCGCGGAATTCTCATCAGCAACTATGTTCGTTTTCGCGTCGAACGGGACACTGCAGGAATCCGCGCAAGAGTCTCACTTACCCAGAATCACCAGGGTCTTCTTCGACGGGTCCGGCTCGAACTGCTCGATCGGATGACGTTGCTCGTAGATGCTATAAACCAAGGCACCGGTCATCCCCAAACCGGTCAACCACGTCAGGCGCCAAGCCCACCGCAAAAACCGAAATCGCTTCTTGGGCTTCGGGGCGGGGGCGGTCGGGGCGGCATCGGCGTAAGTCCGACGGGCGACGCGCTGGACGGATTGCTGGGAGAGACCGCTGGAGCGCAAAGGGCGAGCAGCGCGGAGGGCATGGCACGGAGAGCGCGTCGAGAGCGACCTGCGCGACAGCGACGACAAATGCATGATTGACGGGGGGGTCATGTTGGCTCGCATGGCCAAAGTACTTCCAACCATTGTTAGGTTGTCGCACCTAGACAAGGGCGAGGCAGGAAGAGCGCAGGTGGAAAGGAGGGGAGAGGTGGAGGGAGTGAAAGAAGGGAATGGGAAAAAAAGAAAGAGAGAAAGAGAAGAGAGAAGAAAGAAGGGGTGGATAAGAAGATCGACCTCTTCGATAATAAGAGGAAAGGAAAAAAAAAAAAAAAAAAAAGGTCCGCCCAGGTGACTGATCGCGATAGCGTTTTTAGCTCTTTTGGGCGAATCGGTGTGCTTGCTGGGACCGTAGGAGGTTTAGCTGTCCCGGTGGAAGTTTTCCTCTTTTGCTCTTTAACCCTCTGATGGAGTCTGATGGGGTCTGTCCGTGGGGCTTTTCGTTCCAACGCCCCCCCTGGAGCCACCCAAACTCGTCTTTTGTCCGGTAACAGATTGGGAATATTATTATTAAGAATTGGGGTGAGGGGAAATGATCTCGGTGAGGAGATGGATTAGTTCGTGAGGGGAGCAGTCAATACTCCTCCTGAGGGGTCAGAGGTACAGGATTGACTGATGATTCAATGGTGACTCAATTCAAACGATTTGGAGAGAAGTGGTCGTGATGCATATGAAATGACAATCCTTGATAGACCCGACTGACGTCGCACAGTATGAAACTTCCGAATTGGACAGGGATGATTATATTGAACCAGCCAGATGGGAATAGCTGCTCGGTATACGGCAGATTACTAGGTAATTAGGTATATGGACTTTCCCACTCGGAGTAAGAAGATCTCCTCATAACTATATTGTTCAATCATTCAAACTCCAAATCAAGATTGAATCTCAAAATCGATTGATTAATTAGATAAAGATAGCCAGTCAGCTGACACATCACATGCTCAAAATAGCCCACCGCGCTAAACCCAAACGAGCGACTCTGGTCACGGTCCTTCCCGAGAAACTCGCCGGGATCATCCGCCAATTCTAGACCATTTAGTCTTTGAATGGGGTTCCTCTCTCCATCTTGCCAGTCCTCTTCTCGTCTGTCCCACTGACGATGAGAATCCGGGGCAGACTGAGATCCACTCGGGTCCCGTTGGCGTTCTGGGTGGATAGCCCGATTGTGCCTCGGCTGAACCGGTGCTCTCCGGTTCTGACCATGAGCTGTGACGTCGAATCATCCCATTGACTGTGGTCTGTCGATGCTCTTCATGGCTCATGCTCTTCTTCTGTCACACTCGCTATCTATGCTTTGTCGATCGATAATGTGGAAGACGTACCTCCTGATACTTCATCCGACTTGATCCAGGTTTCATCGGAGAGTGTAGGCTTCAACCATGCCGAGTTGCCATGTCCTGTCGAATCTCTCGGGAGGTAGTCCCACGCCCATATGGCGCTTTTTAAATCGCGCTGGATGGGACACTGCCTGTGTTAGATCGCTGCACTGGGCCTGGTGCAATCTCAACTCGGATACCCTTGGATCGTATGACGGGAGACTGCCAAATGCATGAGATCCTCAATTGGGCCAAGTAACGTTTGCTGGGACCGGCTGGGTCAAAATCAACCGGACAAAGGGCAACAATGCTAGGAAGAAATATTCCAGCCCGTGCACGACTCGGCCATTGATGGGAATTGATGCAAAAGTACCCTCTTCTACGGATGCAAGAGCACTGCTTCACCCTCTCATTCATCTTTCTGGCGATTGTGGCAGTCCTACTAATAGTTCCATGCTCCGTACGGAGTACCCAGGACACTAGATGCTCTAGCGCTTTGTGTTTTTATGGCGACGCATTGATGTACACCGTAGTCTCTAGACCCACGTCATCAATATATACCAGTACATGATCCTCATCAATTTGGGGTGATCACCAGCTCATGCTCGAACACGTTGAACCTATAAAATACTTGATAACACTGATAATTGAATTACTATAGTCTACTTCTCTGTGGACCTTCAATATTTACTTTTTGATATGATAAACAGGTAGACAGGTTGATTCATTTCCTGTTAGCTCTTTCAAACGTCATACACAAACCGTGGTGATTATATCTATAAATATATCTACATGTACACCCAGAGAGTCAATAAAACCATTGCATTACCACCACACGATATTACAGATATATCACGATATTCTCACGCTCCACAACAATACATACTACCTGGGCTTACAATATCTTGTTTGTCTTGTTGGGATTCGCTCGCAGAAAACCCCCTACTGAATACATCGCCGGATTCCCTCTCCTCCATCGCAGCCCCTCAGCTTGGACTCAAAACTAAGAACGAGACGAGACAGATCCCTTCGTACCATGTATACGCATAGACACGTATCCCTAGCTTGCGAAGGTCTTGAATGAGAACATGGATGTTGTCATCCACGTAACGCATATATTATACCAAGGGAGTGAGCCATTTGTTTCTCAGATCCGATACTTGTCCCATCACCTAAAGTGCAGATAAGCTCACCATTCGAGGAATAGAAGACGTATAGCATGACGCCCTACAAAATTAGATATTATTACCGAAGAGGCTTAACACACCATATCTACCAACCAAGCCTAAAAATACTCGAGACAAACCCCAGCCAAACAACCCCAAAACCACAAAGCACAAATCTCCAAACCAAATCACACAATTGACTTAGTCTAAGCCCCAATCTCGCTACATATCTGGGCACTCCACTCCCCCTGAAAGGCTAGCCTACCCAAAACTACACCCAATGCACACAGATAAAGGCTACACGAGCAAACGTCGTTCGTCTTTAGACGTCCACAGCTCCTGGTCTGCCAATATCAGTATATTGACTGAGGGCCGGACCTCCTGGGGAATGCGCCCGTATGCAGCGGGGTTCTAGAAGGTATCGAAACGCTGACAATCGTACACATCGACTTGTATATCCATGCTGGTTTGATGGTCCGGCTGATGTACGACGTTCAGAGGGCACCTCCCGGGTACTCGTGTACATGGGGAAGTATTCGCAGGAGTTGCCAGTACAGCAGTAAGCTATGGCGAGAGTGAGAATCGCAAATACAGTTGTCTATTCTCACTGTTAGCTTGCAGGCTATACATAGAGGCGTTGAAATTAGAGAAGCGACATCTGGAGTCGCCTGCTAGACTCTTCTTCGTGATAGGGAATGGGAACGATCTTGAATCAATATATATCAGTATACCCAAAACAGTAAGTATATCATGGGATGGCAGTTATGCTTATCAATAGTGCACTGCTTTTGGTGGCCGTCTGCCACGATGGCTTGGTTTGGGTCATATCCAAGCCATAGCCCGGTCAAAGTGTTGTGCTAGTTGGTGACCACAATCTATCTAAGGCGTCTATCTTGGCCCTTACAAAGTAACGAAAGCACGGAAGTAGATTCCTCTAGTGAGTGGTGTCTGCGTACAGAATAAGCATGTATATCCTAACCAGACTTTCTACGAAGCGTCAGAAACCAGGGAATGGCTTCAGAAAGTCGAGAAGCCGTTAAAGTGATACTCCCTATTAAGATGTATATACTAACTGATCAAATGCTCTACTAGCTGTAACGAAATGAATTACTTATATCTAATAAGGTAAACGGTCAACTTGTTAAGGGTATAATGCACAAAAGAAACTCCACATAAAATCCAGCTGAGCTAGAATGCACCACAGTGACTATAACAAGCTGTCACAAAGAGACGCGGGCGTGGGCAGTATATCATACAACAATGTGGTAATTGGAGAGTAGGTATGGAGTGTATCCTATTGATAGGGAAGAGCCTTTTACTACAGGAAGTCTTATAGACTCGAAGGACGATATCCTTTTGGCCCGATGTAGGAAAGTTGAGGATACCACCACAAAGAAGAGGTCCAAACCCCAGGAATGGTGCTTTTCAGGTGTTGGCGTAGTGCATATCTTTGAAGAATGTCCATGAAGGGTATCATTATGGTAGTGGATCCCCAAACGCACGTATGCAATCAAGGGGTTTAGCTATGTATAAGCTCAGTATGCTTGAACATCACACCAATTGACAACGGCATCCGAAGTGATAGCGACAGACAGCTGTCCTCGAAAACCAATAAATACATATACAAAAGTACTAGATACCCCATGGCGTAAGTAGGCCGTAAATAGTATATGCATCAGCTCTCCTTAGAGTTTGCTGCCCCAGTTATACCAGCGCCGGTCCAGCCTGTGCAACCGGACTTGACGAAAGCCCACGGAAAACCGAGAACGCAGATTATGCGGTGGAGTAAAATACTTTCTCATCAATGGCTGCTCCCACGGTAAGCCGCGGTCGGAAGAGGCAACCCGTATACGTAGCAATAGAATAGTAGGCAGCATGACATAACTTCACAGTTTGTCAATAGGAAACCATCCTGCTTGCGGTCTAGAACACGGCTAAGCAAACTGGGCCTTGTAGCTTTGATTTGAAGGCTGGCTGGCGGATAGATACTTTGTTCTAGCGAGCTTCGATAAAGATCGCTGTGACGGAGTCCTTGTCCTCCTCCTCAATGGAACGCCTTTCCCTGGATCGCTTTGAAATTGGCCCAGGCGCAGACAGAATCCTGCGAGGAAGGTCCGGGGAATATGTAGCTGGTAGATATTAGCTGGCCATACATAAATTTTTGGGCGATTCCGCGAGCAGATAGATAGATCCCTGGCGCGGATGAAACTCGACCCGACTCGGTTCGCTGGCTGGCTTTGTGCATGGGATGCTCGTTGCCCTAATCAGGCGAAGAAAGCAAGACTTTGACTTTGTCAGCTGTTTGGCTTTTGTGTGATCGGAAAACCTGTCTGTCTCTCTGGGTTCAGTAATACCACTTGTCGATGGCATGGCCCTCTTTGAGGGCAGCCCGTACATGTCAACAGAACGTTGACGGCATATGGTTGCCTCGCCGTGTGTCGACAATGATGGTTGCGTGTGGCTTGCAGGAGGATCAGTCGACTGAATCATTTCGAAACCGAGTCAGACGACATGAGGGAGAATGGAGATCGTGATTTTCTTATTTTCTTTATTTCTGAAATATTCCAAACCTCTCTTCATATGGCTGTTGGCGTTCTCATTTCTTTGTTCGGATATCTGTTGGATCAAGAATCCGCCAACGATTGGCATGGTCCCCGATATAAAAAAAAACTTAAGGCGTACTTTGTCAGATGCAACGACAACCAACTCGCCCAGCTCTATTTGTTGGTTGACGCGGCCGGCAGCGCGGATGCGTTGAGTCTGCGCAGACACATAAAGTACATCATCCACTGCAGCTGCGCGATGTACCTCCCCGACCATGGGGCCCATGAGATCAAATCACCAGCTTTGAGAAGTACGAGCTATCCCAGGGACAAGGGACGAAGGTATCCCATTGCCTACCTCATGTACGAATACGCCCAGCCCAGTCCGATACGACGAGCACCTCCAAACGAGCGCCAAGGCCGATGACAATGAGAGCTTCGTGGAAATCATGGACGGGCTTTCTGATTCCCTCATTCGGCAGCGCATGCAGGCACTAACCCCAAACTAGTTATATTGGCTTTTCACCCGCGGCGCGTTTGTCCCTCTGTTCAAACTTTTGATGATATATCAAAGAGACTGGAAGGCAAGGTCTCGAGGTATAGAGTATACAGCCAATATACAGCCTGGAGATTGACGGGTTTCCAAGGTGGAATGCAGAGACTGGCTGGACTGGCCGCCGCTGCGTTGTCAAATCCTCGTCCCACTCGTCCAGAACTTATATGCGGTGATAGGCCAACTTCACGTGTGACTGCGAAGTGTGATGGTGGTTTTGATAGAGCAACAAGAGCTGTGTCACGAATATACCATAGAGGGAATATGAAGTTGTCTGTTGTGATATAGAGTTAGTTAATAATTGAAGGACACAGCACACCAGAGGTGGCTCGCTGTGTTCAATAGGGCGCTGGTTGTACCCTGATCTGAGTCTCATTGTGACGCCACAGCTTCACTATGAGCGCAATTACTACGCCTTCCTTGAATCCGTTTCCTGACATTAGCTGTTTGTAGCCCATCACTATCCATCCACGAAGAGCCCTTCTGCTGGGTCGCATATCGTATTCCAGCCGGTTCCATGCGCCTGGAAGGTCAAACCAAGCAAAGGCATTCTCCACCCAAACATTCGACAGTACGAGGACACGACGTACGATTCCGATCGAGCCGACCAGCCGACCGACCGACTGACTCGCAACTCATCGGAGGAAAGCAAGTTGACAGCATTGCGAGTTGCACCTCGGCGACATATTCGGTTATCAGCACGACTAGAACATGCCGTCTTCCTGTGCGTCCCACACATGCGACAGAGCATTACGTGGATCAGTCACCACAGTCGATCTAGACAAGTAGATCCATGTCGCGTGTCGTATGAAGGGGCCTATGACTGCACCGCGAAAGGATGACGATAAAATCGATTGTTACAATGCTACTCCTGAAGACGCAACACTCCCCATATGGGAATGACTAGATAACCTTGCTCGGCAGCACAGCCTGAGACCAGCTCGCGGGTGCAAGGAAAGTAGCAAGTAAACAGATGAGTGAGAACAGTGGCACAGAGCGAAAAGTGGCAGTGATAGTCTGGACCGTCCCACTCCAGGCATCTTTGTTTGACCCGACCAGTTGTCCCATAAAAAGATCAAACAAACAATTTTAGTGGAATAGCTCCAAAAGAACCTGCTTTAACCATGCCTTGATAATCAGTATGACATTATCAAAATTATGATTGATTATCACCATCGTTACCAATCCATCTAGACTCCAACCTTACGTGTAGGTGACTCCACCACGCGTTCTGGCAAGTGACAATGTCACTAGTGTCCTGTGTTTGGGCGGTTGACCACAGACTGAGGCCCTAGGCCAGGGTCGATGTCGGATGATTATGAATGATAATCACTTATCACAGCCACTCCAGGCATTATAATGATATTAAACCGAACTCACAAGATTGTTCCTGTTTGGGTAATTATTCTGTCGATCTAATAGACTACGCTGAAACCGATTAATATCATTTCGAACCACCCAGACTCTTACGAAGGTCATGTGAGGTCATGTGCTCATTTTCATCTGGTTAGGAAAGCGGGGCCCTAGCTGAGGCAGGGATACTTGTAAAACCGGTCGAATTCGCTGAGCGCATGGTGCGAATGGTCATACAACTGGCTGGAGCTTCTGTGTCTAGTGTTCAATGATCCATACCGGATACTACTTACTGTCCGTCGAGTGCCTATAAGAAGCGGCCTCAGGCATATGAGGAAGTGAGACAGACTCGTAAGGGACCAGGTAGAGTAGAGTCATCTGGCCCCGAACTTAATAAAAGCGATCTTTCATTATTGCGATCGCATCCCTCGGACTCAAGGGTGTTTACACTTTACACACCGAACACAGCAGTCCAGACGGTCTGAGACATGATAGACAACCGCCCCCCTCCCCTTTCTCCTCCTTCCACTATGAGCCATCAACCTCACTGGACCAGCTAGTTGCTACTCAGTCGCGAGGTGGGCTGCAAAGATGCAGACAGACATCGGCTGGACATAGTGGCCCTGCACGGGGCTGTCTGATTGGCGCAAATCTTACGAAACGCTGGGTGGAGGGGGGGGGCGGGCGTGTCTCCCCATCAGTGTGGAAAGTGACTCTTTATATTACCTGGTAGATAATAGAGAGGTTTCATACCTGCCGTGCGTTCTTGTATCCCCTCTCGACAAGACTAGGACGGGGTACGAGCAAGCATGGCGGCGCGCGTCTCCGTAACGGGGCCCCAGAATCAATATGCCAGCTCCTGCTGACCTTGTCCAGCAACAATGAGCATATGGTGTGGAGGGGGACCAAACTCTACTGAGGAGAGGACGGAGGAGAGGCTGAGGGTCTGATAATGTATTTACAAATCGGTCGCGATGATAAGGTGAAATACTATTGTTGAACTGGAGACACATGTCTACTACTCCTTGTATAATTGGATGACTTCTTTTCTGTGTCTGCCTCGTCTGAGGTCGATGCAATATCCTACGGAGTGTAGAAGGGGTGCGTCTGTGTGGTTGGGTACTTACTATACGACATCCATCCATCCAACCTACGTAAGGAAGGCTCTTGTGATATCGAACCACACATATCGAATAGCGATATTGATCCGAAGACAAGGGCGGTGGGATCTTCAGCATCATAATTACAGTACATGCGATCATCGGAGTGACCGAGTTTTATTTTCTTTTTCCTTCTTTACCTTTCCAACATGGGGCTCGGTTACCACCACAATGACAATCAATAGCGACATATCCCCAAGCGACTGACTGACCGACCGCGACGATCCCAGCGCCTCGTCAAGAGTAGAGTATATAGTAAGTATCCTTGCACAGTACGGAATATTGAAACCAGTCAATCCATCCAATCCTATTCAATACGCTCCATACGGCAACTCCTCACAGCATAATCGAAGGGGATAGGCGGGAACCAATACACCCAACGAGCCTGGGCAACATGAACGAAAATCAAGTCAGGCTGGCTCATTCCTTCAAACGCCCCACGACTCATAACGGTCGGCAGTAATAAGGCTGCAAAGTACTCTGTACATCAGTTATAGAAGTTACTACTATAACACCCCCTGTTATACTTGGGGCTAGATGGTCTCTGCAGATGTCGAGGTTCACACGGGCCTCGTAGAAGGGATTATGATGTATCTATTTCTTACAACGCCAGACCAGACCTGACTGACCTGACCTGACTTTCCCCACCATACGAGTGATGTTGTTTGTTGACTGACTTATTTCCGAGTCATTGCTGCATAAATGATGAGTACTGGAGTGGGTTGGTTGTCCAAGGATACGGCAATCATTTATTTTTTTCCCTTTACTTTTTTTCTTCTTCTTCAATCCTGCATGTAAGGAGCCAAGAAAAAGGACAAAGAAAAGAAAAGAAAAGAAAAATTGTGGGAGGTGTGATATCCCATGTAAATTGCTGCTGGCTGTCCTTGCGTGTTATTTCCTTTGATTAATTATGGAAATCGCGAACCAGTCCGGTGACGCGATCATTTGCCGACGCGCCTGCAGTGTGAGAAGAGAAGAGGAGAGAAGCGAGCTGGGGATGACAACCAACAACCCATTGACTACGAGCTTAGGCCGCGCATTAATGTCGACTTCGTGGGGGGTGGATAGGAGAAAATCCCCGGTAAATATCATCGCCCAGGAAGGGTAGATAATGTATGTATGGATGAAGCACAAGCTGAGACTAACGTGGGAAGGGGGCTAGAGGGGGCAATAAAATAATTAAGAACAAGGATTATTATTATTATTATTATTTTTATTATTAGCCTGGAGCCATAGCATAATCAGACAAAAGCAGTAGTAGGTTCTGTCCACTGTTGAAGAGGACAAGGCTTGTGGCAGGACTCTCGCGCGGTACGAGAGATTGTCGAGCTGATCAAAGCCTTCGCATTATTGATGCTGATCCGTTTACAAGCACAGGGGTTTTAGAGAGTACCACACCATTACGAAATGCGTTGCTTCCTTCCAAGCCTCCAACAGGAACGATGTACAGTCAGACGTAGGTAGGCGTGCCCTGCCTTGCCGAGTACAGTAACAGTCGAAGCCCACCAAACCAGACCAGTCATCATCATCATTGGGGTCCTTTGATCCCAAGGAACCTTACCATTACCAAGAGGAGGGGCGAGGGGGGAGAGGTTTATCCACTACTCCATCAGGAGAACTTTAACCGCCCGGTCAAAGGGGATATCCTATCGCGAATCAGTCGTACATAATAGCACTGCTAAAGACAAGAAGAGCAAAGATCAGCTCGCCGGGGAGGTAACCTCGGATTGGGATAACCAGTATGTTTCATCGAACCGCCCTGCAAGATGTGGAGTAGGAGGGAGGAACTTTCTCCTCATCATGGATATCTAGGTATCAACTATAAAATGAAAACCGGCATCAATGAATGGGGCACAAAGGGTCCTACTTGGTTCGGAACGAAAAATAGCCGAAGTTCGAGAAAAGCGCCATCGCCAGCATACATAGTACATGCCTAGTTGGAAACCCTTGGACGTGGGATGAGCTAGATCAATGTTAATTTCAGGTTCTAAAAATCGGTGATGCCTCTTGTCATCGAGCGGGGAGGAAATTAGTCAAGTGCCAGGCAGCAACTGGGCCCGATCGCGTTAGTCGTTGGAGAGCCACATGGTTGTTGGTTTGGCCGTAGTCGGGATAGGCCATCGTCATTATTGGCAACTGTCCTGTAGTATGACTAGACAGGTAATGAGTGAGCTAATAATAATATACAGCAACTAACTGATTATCGACAGTTTAGACAATTATCATCAGTTTTGTAGTATAGTGGCGGTCACCGAGGATTTTGAACCTCGGCCACGGTGCCGCATCCGGAGGTGGCAACAAGTTGGATTGGTTCAACATGGTCGATTCTCTACCAATTTCGTCGTAGTAGGCAATGGTGCCTGTCGTTTTGCTTTTGCTGGTCGGGCGTTTTCCTGGATCATCACACACTACGTAACGATATGGAATAATAATACCATCATGTTTAACAAGCCTTAATAAGGTTGAATAATAC